GGGTCTGCGGGATCTACGGGGTCTGTGGGGTCTGCAGGGTCTGCGGGGTCTCACTACACAGATCAGGCTCGTAGTGATCCGCCTGAGCGGGATTACAGGTGTGCGCCACCATGCCCAGTCTCAATCATGGTCTCAGTGCACCCTGGGGGCCGGGCCAGCTCAGGCATGTCAGGGATCAAACCCCGGCCGCTGCGCTCTGCCTAAGCAGGCGCTTTAGTCCATCGAGCTATCTGGCCGGCCCTTACAGTTATTTTTTACATTTGTATTTTCTATCTTTTGTATCAGCTACTGAGAGAGAAGTATTTGAGATCTCCAGGGAAATCACTATGATTATGGACCTGTTATTTCAGTTCTGAAATTTTTCTTTTTCTTTCTCTTCCTCCTTCCCTCCTCCTTCTTGTGCTGGATATTGACCCCAGGGCCTTATGCACGCTAAGTGTGTGCTCTAGCACTCAACTATACTATAGCCTCGTGTGTGTGTGTGTGTGTGTGTGTGTGCATGCGCATGCGTGCGTGTGTGTGTGTGATACTGGGGACTGAACCCAGGGGCTTGCACTGAGCCATATCTCCAGCCCCTTTTCATTTTTAAGACAGGGCCTTGTTAAATCATCAGTTGCCAAGGCTGGGCTGCAACCGTCAATCCGCCTGCCTCGGTGTCTCAGAGCACTGGGATTATAGGTGTTTGATGCCACACCCAGCTCCCATTCACTCTGAAACTGTTAGGAGGTGCAGCAACATTTCCGTAATCCCGACTTCCTGCTGAGTGGATGCTTCCATCATGAAACGCTTGTCGTTGTCTCAGATACTATCACTTGTCCTTACTTCCACCTTAATGTCTAGACTCATTAGTTTTCTTCTGATTGTTCCTTTGCCTGTGTCGGGTTTTTCTGTTGTCTGACATTAGGCCTCTTTGTGACTTGATAAAGAAAGTCACATGTAAACAGGAAAGGATCAAGGTTTGTTTTTTGTTTTGAGACAGGGTCTCACTATGTAGTTTGGGCTGGCCTTGTGTTCACTTTTGTAGTCCCCAGGTTGGTCTCAAACTTGTAGTGATCTTCCTGTCTCAGCCTCCCGAGTGCTGGGATTACTGCCACCGTGCCTGGTTATGGGGCCAGCACAGCGCACGTGGGGATGCAGGGCCAGCCCCGCATGCAGGCCCTTGTGCTTGCTAGGTAGGTGCTTTTGCCTCTGAGCGACCTCCCCAGAGACTTGTACTGATCCTCCTGTCTCAGTCTCCCAAGTGCCGGGATTACAGGGGTGCACCACCATGCCTGGTCTTGGGGGCCTGCTCAGCGCACCTTGGGGCCCTGTGTTCCGGCGAGATAGCTCCGGGAACTACGTGCCCGCGTAGGCAAGTGCAGGGACCCGGACTCTATCCCACTGAGCTATCTCGCCGGCCCGAAGCTCCCCTCATGTGGTCTTACAACTGCTCGCTCTTTTTGAAGTACGGTATTTGTGATCAGTGCCACAGCCGTCTGCCCTCGGGTTTGCTTTTGCCTCATCTGTTCCTTTTCTCTCCTTTTCTACTTTCCTTGGGTGTCTGGCAAATGTCCTGTCGTCTCCATGTTCTCTCCTGAATTATAAGTGTGATACAGCGGCCACGAACAAGATGCAGTTACGTGTATCTAAGATGTGGCTAATATGGTTGAGGTACTGAACATTTAATTTTTATCTATCTATCTATTTATTTATTTATGTTGCAGTACTGGGGATTGAACTCAGGACCCTGCGCTTGCCAGGCAAGTGCTTATTCTACTGAGCCATCTCCCCAGCCACAAGCGCTGAACATTTAATTTAAATTAATTTTAATTTCAAGGGAGATGAATTATTCAGTTACTGGGAGAATTTTGCGTATGTTCAGAGCAAGTTGAGTATGGGAAATGACTTTTTCAGTGGTAAACTTTAATGACGTCCAAATACAAATTAAGTATTTTCTTCCAGCCTCAAGAATTTCTAGAGTCTCCCTTGGTACAGATTCTGTTGTGATGAATTATCTCATCTTTATCTGAAAATGTCTTCACTTTCCTTTTACTGCTCAAAGCTATATGGCTGAATATGGAATGTGGTTTACAGGGCCTTCCTGTTAGCACTCTACAATACTGTGTTCCATTTTCATGATTTGCATCGTTTCTGAGAAGTTAGCTATAATTCTCATTACAGAGCCATTGTATGCAACACACTCAGGACAGTGGCATATGCCAGGGAAGTACTGCAATGTTCTCTCTCTCTCTCTCTCTCTCTCTCTCTCTCTCTCTCTCTCTCTCTCTCTCTCTCTCACTGTGGAGTTCCGGCTGGCCTTGCGCTCACTTTGTAGCCCAGGCTGGTCTCAAACCTTAAATGATCTTCCTGCCTCAGCCTCCTGAGTGCTAGGGTTACAGGCATGCACCACCATGCCTGGCTCTTCCCTATTTTTTTTTAATTCATTTAGACATTTTCTATTCATATTTGACTGTCAGAAAATTAACTATGATATCCAAGTTGTGATCATCTTTGTTTTTATCCAGATTGGGATCTTCTGTGCTTCTTGAATCTGTGGGTTAATGCTTTCAATTAAATTTGAAAAGTATTTTCTTTTTTTTTTTTTAATTTTATTTATTTATTTATGTGTGTGTGTGTGAGCGCACATGTGGCCAGCTCAGCCCACCAGGGGGCGGAGCTGGCTGGCATGTGGTGCTGGGGAATTGAACCGCGGTCCCTGTGCTTTGCTGAGCTTGTTCCAAGTAGGTGCTTTAGACCACTGAGCCATCTCACCAGCCCCTATTTTCTTAATTATTAAATTTTTGTACCAACTGCTCCTTCTCTCCTGCTGCGGCTCCAGTCACACACAGGTGAGTTCTACAGACAGGTCGTTGAGGCAATGTTCATTTTTTTTCTCTCTGTGAGGCGCATGGCACAGAACTTCTACATGTTACCTTCTATCTTCAAGTTTATTGATTCCTTCTTCTACTATTTCCAGATCATATTAAATCGATAAGGGCTGGCCAGCAGCTCAGCAGACTAAAGCGCTTGCTTAGGCAGACGCAGGGACAGGGGTGGGGGGTGGAGGAATCGGGGGTGTTCTATCCCCTGCGAGCCGTGCCAGCCCTGCCCCCGCACACTGAGACTGCTACTGAGACTGGGTGTGGTGGCGCGCACCTGCAATCCCAGTGTTTGGGAGGCTGAAACAGGACAATCACTGAGTCCAATCTACGTAGTGAGACCCTGTACATCCTGTACACCCTGTCATAAATTCATAAAAAAGAATATATTCAATGTAACTTTTAACTTATATTTTCAGTTCTAGAATTTCCACAGGATTCTTTTTTGTAGTCTCTATATCTCTCTACACACTAAATTCATCTTTCTGATGAAATTCCATATCATATTCATAAAGGTAGTTTTAAAATTTTTATCTGTTCATTCTAATATCTGGGTCTTTTTTCTTTTTGGTACTGTTACTGAACTCAGGACCTTGCACTTGCCAGGCAGGCGCTCGCATCACTGAGCTATATCCCTTGCCCCGGGTATTCTTCCTCTAGGCTATGGTTTACATTTTTCTGGACTTTTAATATCTTGTGATTTTTAATTTTATGCTGGTTATTATATGTCAAAAAACAAAGGAGAAAGGCACGTATCTTACTTGTTTAGTCTCAATGAACTCATTACATTTTTCCTAAGAGTTGAGCTACAGCTGGGCATGTTTAATTCAGTTTCCTGTCTTCAAACGGGACTGAACAGAACTCATGTCACCAGTGAGTGAAGTTCCCGACTTTCCGCACCTGCCACAGGTACTAACTTCCAGGATATTGGTCACTATTTGTGGAATGGGTTGGATGTAGCTCCAGACACAAGATTTATCTTGTGATCAACTCCAGCGGGACCCAGGAACCTGAGCACTAGAAAAATCCTGCCTCCCAGTCTAGTCTCTGTGGCAGCCTCCGCCACTTCCTCAGCACAGCTGCTAAGAATGGTGCAAGGAGAAGTGGCGGATTCATCCTCTGTGCACTGGAAGCATCTAAGATTCGGATGCTTCGGGCTGGGGAGATAGCTTGGTGGTCTAAGTGCCTGTCTGGCTAGCACAAAGACCTGGGTTCAATCCCCGGTACCCCATAGGCACAGAAACCAAGCGTAGTTGCGCACCTGTAATTCTAGCACTGGGGAGGCTGAGACAATAGGATCACTATGAGTCTGAATTGTATAGTGAGATCCTGTGCCAAATAAATAAATTAAAAATAAAAAAAGATTTGGATTCCTCCAGGCGCCCATACTGCTTGGAGGATTTCCTCATTTCCTCTCTTCTGTGCAAGGTCTATGCATCTATGAAGGTCTGGCCAGCACCCACCACTTACAGCAGGCCCTTGCCCAGACATAAGAGCATTCCTGGCTCTTTCCCCACTGAGCACTGGCTGAGTGCTCTCCAGGATCTGGCTCCTCTTCTCGACTAACATTATAGGGAAGTATGGTCTTTATTTTCTCTATCAAAAAATTCTTGCCCAAAAAAAAAAAAAAAAGTTCTTGCCAGTGCTGGGAGTGCTGGCACATTCCTGCAATCCTAGAACCCCAGAGGCTGAGGCAGGAGGATTGCTGTGAGTTCAAGTTCAGCCTGAAATATACAGCGAGATCCTGTCTCAAAAAAAAAAAAATCCTGCCACTATGGCAACATGGACTTGGGCACCTGTCAGTTTCAGAAAAATCCTATTGTAGAGGCAAATTCTAACTGGAGTCATTAAAATCCCAATGCCTGGATTCATCCAAGACCACACAGATCTGCATCTCTAATGTAAATGTTTCCTAAGGCTTTTCATGTGACTCAAATATGCAGCCAAAGCCAGGAATCACTGCTCTCTGTGAGTTAAGTAATTGATTTTTTTTGGAGACAGGATCTCGCTATGCAGTTCAGGCTGAGCTTGAGCTCATTTGCAGCCCACACTGGCCTCGAATCTGCCACGATCCTCCTGCTCAGCCTCCTGAGTGCTGGGAAATAACTGATTTTGAAATCCTCCTTCCTCCAGTGGCAACTAGGAAGAAGCCCTGGGGCAGTCAGCTCTCTGAGGCTATTTTTCTTGTCTATGACATAGAAGATACCACAGTCTTCCCTTCTCAATTATTTTCTCTGAGAATAAATGGGAAGCTACTAATCTGACTGGAGGGCTTGGGTTTGGGGTTCTATGGCATGCTCATGTGGGTGGAGGGGGTTACTTACCTCTCCACGCAGCTGTGGCCACTGGTGGTGACCCAGAACCCCAGCACTAGAAAGACGATGATCGTGGCCAGCATTGAAGTCACCAGGTTGAGCAGGGCCACAAAGGAGGCTGTCTTGACATAGTTGTCACCTCCACTGTTGCGGGAGAAGGAGGTGACGATGGTGCCCATGCCTAGGCCCAGGGAATAGAGCACGTGGCCTCCTGCCTGCCACCACAGGTCCACCGAAGCCAAGGTAGAGAGCTGTGGAGCAGAGTTTGGGAGAGGGCTCAGAGGCTGGAAGTACCAGTCAGTTAGCAGAGGGGCAGCTAGAGGTGAGAGCGGCAGGGAGAAGGCTGGGGCAGAGGGGAGTACAGTGGAGGGCAAGGAGACTCAGTAAAGTCTTAGGAGTGGAAGGAGGAAAAAGTTTGGAGTCCCTGGTCTCACCTCTATGGTCACCAGACGCTTGAGGCTAGCAAACGCACCTTCTAGGAAGGGTGCCCGGACAAACAGGAACAGGAGGAGAATGTAGAATAGGAGCACCCAGGAAATCAGCATCTGAACAGGGTCAGGAGGGAAAAAAGCATTCAGGAGAGTTGGGGATGAGGGAAGACGAGGCCAGTGTTAGCAGGGCACCAAAGGTAAGGAGAAAACCATGGGGCAGCCAGACACTTCACTGAGCCTGGGGTCATGGCCACGTGGGAACTGAGAAACAGAAAAGGGAAAGGCACGCGGCCCTGTGGAGGTGACGACGTTGTGGAACTTCACAGGTGAGGGGAGAGGAAAGGAAATGGAGAGTGACAGCATTAATGCATGCTTTGAAGTTTTTCACCCTCATTGGTAAAGCACCCCCTTTTCCCATGGACCCCTACTAACCCACCACTAAGCTCTGTTTTTACAGGAGTGGCTTATTTTGGGAGCTGTGCAGAAATGGTAGGGTGAAGGCTCCCTGTTTGCAGGATCCAGAGACCAGTTGATAAAGGTGCAGTTAAGCAAAATGATCCCCAAAGGCACTGATTAGCTTCCCACATAAGGAATATGACCCAGGAGCCAAGAAGTGGACCGGAAGTAGCTGCCCTGACATCGCATCCTCCTACTGGGAAACTGGAAAGGGAGTGCAGCGGTCAGCTCCTTATGGGCTGACACACGCTGTCGGAGCAGAGCAAGGCCAAGGGGGCAGAGCTCAGGTGAGGCTGGGGTCTGATTCGAAAGGTAGCTGTAATGGTTCACATCTAAAGTGGCCCCCAGCCGGCCAAATATCTCAGAGGGGGTTCAATCCCCAGGCCTGCTGTGCTGGCCCCACCCAGGGGCACGATGAGATGGCAATTGAGACCTAGTGTGGTGGCTCACGCCTGTAATCCCAGCTCTTGGGAGGCTGTAAACAGGCAGATCGCTACTACTCTGATCTAGTAGTGAAACCCTGAACACCCTGTAGACCATTCCTAAAATTAAAAATAATAATAATAATAAATAAATAAATAAAAATAAAGTGGCCCCCAGGTCTTGTGTGTGTGTGGATCCTGGGGCACTGTGCTCATGGGAAGACTCACGCACGCGTGAGATCATGGCTGAATGCGAGAGTAGGAGGGGGGTGGCCAAAGGTGGACCCTGGGGCTGGGGCCTGGAAGAAGGAGCGCTTGTCCCCACCCTGCACTTCTCTCTGCTTCCTGCCTGCCGTGAGGTGAGCAGCTTCCCTCCGCCAGGCCGCTTGGAGCCAGCCACAGTCAGAGTCTCCTTACAACATGAGCCAAAATCAACCTCTCCTTTATGTTGTGGATGTCAGCCCCTTTGTCCTAGTGTCTGCAAAGTGACTACTGCTGTGCCCTCGGGTCTCCGTGAGCACCATATTGGCTTCAGGATGGTGAGTAAAGAGGTAGCAGGGTGGATGGATATGAGGCTCCCCTTCAGGCCACCCACGGAGCAAGCAGCTCTTTGTGAGAAGGGTAGTCACAGCTTCCGGGGAGCGGCCTGCTGCAGATCGCGGTGGCCATACGCCAGCTTGCCCGATGGGTGGGTGGGGGATTCACTGGGCTTGGAGGATAGCTGCTAGCAGGAAGGAAGAGCCACCAACAGCACAGCCCCCAGAGAGGAAGCAGGTGTGTGGGGCAGGAAGCCTGCGGGTCTCGGGAGCCACAGGCCAGGGCCGCTTACCAGCACTGAAATCCTGATCTCAAAGACAAAGATGAGGAAGAGGATGACCCAGACTGTGAAGCTGCCCCGGCTGAGGCTCAGGACAAGGCTGGTGATCCCGTCCTCCATGTGGCCCGAGGCTTGGAGTATGGTGTGGTACAGGAAGTACTGGTGGGGCACAGTCCAGAGGCACGAGAAACCTGGGGGACCCCGGCACTCAGCCCCACTGCTCTCTCCCCGGGCCCTGCCCCTTGGTGCCCGGACGGCCCCCTCCCTGTCCTCACCAGTGCCACTGACGTTCTTCGCCAAAGGGCAGTGCTCCCAGGGCAGGGGCAAAGTGAAGGAGCTGCCCAGGTAGAAGAGGCTCCAGGAGATAATGGCGCTGTTATAGGTGCTCAGCAAGATGCGTACCTGAAGCCGACACGGCGGGCCTGAGAGCCCGAAGGCCGCTGGAGCGAGCGAGCCCCCCCAACCCAGGCACCCCTGTTACCAGCACGCAGGCATAGCCCATGCCGCCCAGCCAGGGGGCGAGCTGCTTCCAGACCCGGATGTTGTCCACCTGCAGCCGCTGCCCTACCATCATCTCCATGTAGAGAAGGGGAATGCCGAAGAGCAGCAAGGAGAAGACGTAGGCCAGGAGGAAGCCGCCTGCGGGGGAGCCGGGCTGCACTCAGGCCCCCAGGCCCCCACCCCTCCTCCTCTTGGACGCCTGGGCCCAGCCCAGCCCCTGCTCCCCAGGACCTGCTCTTCAGGCTCCTGTTCCCCGCGCAGCAGGCCCTGCCCTTACCTCCTCCATTCTGGTGACACAGGTAAGGGAAACGCCAGAGACTGCTGAACCCAGCAGAGATGAACAACTGGACCAGGATGCTCTGCATTTCTGCAGTCGGATGTAGGTAATTTGTGGTCCTTGCGCCCAAATCTCCTTGTGCTGGAGGTTACAGGGCAGGGACCCTTCAGTGCGGGTGTCCTCTTGTGTCACTTCAGATATCCTTCAAGAGACTCTATGGCCCTCTCCTTCCAGGCCCACTAATGCCTGGATCGTGGGGCCACCAAGAAGAGCAGACCTCAGCAAACGCGGCTCCGGCCCTCGGCTGTAAAACTTCATGGCAAAGCTTTTAGAGAAGTGTGGGCAAGAGTTTAGCTCTTGGCCTTTTGCCAAACCAAATCACATGTAGTTGATTTTGGGCAATAATTCCATTTCTTGGAGACTTGTTTTTTTGTTGTTTTTTTTTAATCTTACAAGCAGAAATTAATGCCAAAATATTGAATAAGAGGAGGTACTGCCATCATGAGACCTGACTGCCCGCAGCTGGGTGCCAGGCTCACATACTGGAGCATCCATGTTAACATCCGTCCTGTCTAACACATAGATGCAGACAGACAGGGACGTGCAAACACGGAGAGCTTGCGTGTCTTTCCTTTCTCTTCTGGTCTAACCCAGAAGGTGAGGCCCAACACAAGCACAGACTTCTGGCCAGTGTGTCCCACCCACGGCTGCTCACCACAGTCACTTCAACACCTACAACCTAGAGACTCAGAGCTGGATCTGGTGGTGCTCGCCTATCATCCCATCACTGAAGGAGGCCAAGGCCGAGGGAATACACGTGCAAGGCCTACTTGAACAACATAGTGAGATCCTGTCTCAAAACTTAAAAGTGTTGTTTTGGCAGGATCCTACTACATAGCCCAGGCCAAGCTCAGACTTGCTGTGACCCTCCTGCCTCAGCCTATGGAGTGATGGGAAGACAAGCCTGGCTGGCTCTGAGGATGAGGCTGACACCAGGAGCAGTAGGCTGATGAGAGTGGCAGCTGCCGCTCCTACGCACGTCTTCAAGCCTTCCTTCCAACAGAATGGACAGCCGGAGGGGGGCATGGGAGGGTTCAAGCCGTGCAGGTCTGGGTGGGAAGAATTCAGAGCAGGCGGGTAGCTTATAAGAGGGATGAAGTCAACTGCAGGCTAACTAGGGCCTCACAGGGAACCAGGAAAGTGACAGCCGAAACAGTCTCTCCTGGGGTCAAGACAGATCTCAAGCCCTGAGCTAGAACACTATCCCTGCAGCCTGGTGTGGCGGTGCACATGTCCTGTCATCTCAGCACACTGAGAGCCTGAGGCAAGAGGACTGCAAGATGAAGCCTAGCCTGGGAAGGTGAGAGACTGAGTGAAACCTGTCTTTAAATAAGAAATACAGATGCTGAGGAGATAGCTTGGTGCTCTAAGCTCCTGCCTGGCAAGTGTAAGGACATGGGTTCAATCCCTGGTACTATATGCTGTGCCACCCCAGAACCCTGGGTGCACCACACTGGTCACCCAAACCGGGTGTGGTGGTGCATGCCTGTAATCCCAGTGCTAGGGATGCTGAGACAGGAAGATCACCATGTGTTTGAGCTGTGTAATGAGACCCTGTACCAAATAAAAAAAACAAATAGGGGCTGGTGAGATGGCTCAGTGGTCTAAAGCACCTACTTAGAACAAGCTTAGAAAGCACAGGGACCGCGGTTCTATCCCCCAGCACCACATGCCAGCCAGCGC